TTTGTAATATAATTAAACAAAATAAGTTAAAATTTTTAACAAAAATATATCAGAATTTACACTCAAATCATTTGTACAGTCATGATTTTGCATTAGTGCAAATTTATTTGCATTGCAACCAAACACAGACGGCCGGCCCTCAACTTTTACCCGTTAATAGATTCTCTCTTGGCTTTTTTTTATCCCTTTTCTTCTAACGTAAAGGAGGTCATGGAAATGTTTTTAATTAGATAAAAGACCAATCAATGGAAAATTAAATTTTGCTCATGAAACAGGAATTCAAATTAGCTGCATTTGATGACTGTGTTGGGAACTGTTTAACCAATATTAATAACGCCTCACATCAACGACAATTTAGATATTGGAGTGGTTGTGGGTCATACATTTAATAACACACAAAGGTTTTGGATCTCTTACAAATTACAGTTATATTTGTGAGAAAATAGCGTATTATTTATAGAGATAATAGCAAGGTTTTTAAAATTGAATCGGACAATGAATCGGTCAAGGTCCGATTATCAGGTCAAAAAGTTTGATCGTTTGAACTGGATGGATGGTCTGTTTTGATAAAAAATAAAAAACAGCCAAATCGTTGAATGATTCGAATGATTCAACTGCCTGGATCAGCGATTTATTGACTAAATCAACGTTTTTTAGCGAAATAATGGTTCTGGAGTAAAATAGACCTGACCGATTCCTGATTTTTCTAGTCCAACCATTCGATCTGGTCCGGTTTTAAAAACCATGAAGAACAGTACACAACTTACGATAGAAGTGTACATTACTTTTTTACAACGAAAGAGGTAGATAAAGGTAAAGTAGAACAAATAGGATAGACTCTAGGGAACATGGTTTTCAAATCCCCCCAAAACCGTTGATTTTGGTCTGCGAACCATTGAATCGGGCGGTTAACCGTTTGAACGGTTTTGACCGTTTTTTATTTTTTTTAAAATTTTTTATTTTTTTGTCAAAACGAGCTGAGCGTTCAATTCGAACAATCAGACTATTCGACCTGATAACCGGACCCCTGACCGGTTCGGTCATCAGGTCGGTTTTAAAAACCATGCTAGGAAACCGGATGTATTGGTGACAAATTGTTTTAAACCAGGCTGGGCAACCTATCAATGGTGAATATGCCAGTGTTCCGTACACATGGGGCTCATATGGATCCAGTCTTGATATGTTGCGCAGCCCATTGTGCATGATAGTCTCCAGCCAATCTCAACATCAACTTAGTTCGGATGAGCTGGACACAATATCATATACATCAGTTGAATTTGCTATCACGGTTGAACACGACAATGTCCACTGTGGGTCTCATTGGGACCCATTGTACTGAACACTGGCATGTTCAACGGTGATAGATAAGTTCAGCTGGGTGTGTATGTTTTTGTCTCCAGTTAATCTTCTCCCAGTATATGTTTAAATTTGCTGGAAACTATCATGCACAATGGGCTGCTGTGTAACATATCAAGGTTAGATCCATATGGGCCCCACTTGTATGGAACACTGGCAATATTCACTGTTGATAGGTTGCCCAGCTCATTGTGCATGATAGTATTTGCTATCATGGTCGAACACGCTAATGCACACTGCGGGTCTCATTTGGGACCTAGTTGTACTGAACACTAGTTTGTTCAACCGTGGTAAATAGTTTTTCCAGCTAGTCTGCTCCCTTTCAAGTTCTTTTTTTTTTCTTTTTTGTGAAAAAGAACGGTGAATTATACGACACGGGGTAGCTCTCTCCAAACAATCACTTGAAACAAGAAAAGTTAAAATCCAATCTGAAGAAGAATTTAAAGGATAAAACCTAAATTACTTACAAGCACTTTATTAATAAGCAAGTCAATCAGTAGCAAAATTTGCCTCTTTGAACACATGTGGACATTGAATGTAGGGGTTTCCACATGCTACATGGCTGAATACATTCACAGATGATGCTCCACGGGGGTGATCTGACCTTTTACGCTATTGATAACCAACTTCGGATCTCCTTCAATGATGCCAATCCTTCGAGAGAAATTCCTCGCTAGTTTTACCGCATCAAAAACTGCCCAAGCCTCCGCTACATTGATCAAACAACAACCTAAGGCTACTAAGGGCGAGAAAGACATGACCTGCCACATCTCTAGCCACACAACCAAGTTTTTTTAATGTTGTTATTTCTATTTTTTCATATTTTCCACAACATAAATGCCAATAAATCTTTAATGCCAGTTCTTTCCTTATTAAGGCTAAGTTTGGGAGTGTTTAAAATAAGTATTTATTTGAGAAGCCCAAATTTTGGGCTTATTTGTAAGTACTTATTCAATAAATGCTTATTTCCTTTTTGGCCTATCTTGGCTTGCCAAATCATTTTGAAAAACGTATCTACTGAGGGGTGACTTGGCAGCTTGAAAAACAAATTTGTAGGAGGTAGTGGAGTGCAAAGCTTGCCTTGAACGGGCCATCAAGCTTGTCACTGACCTAAAAGTCAAGCTAGTACAGGAGAAAAGAAAAAGCGGCAACTTTGTGGCGAGGGTCGAGAAGTTATCTAGTGATCTAGAACAAAAACATCGTGAGATGGAGGAAAAAGAAGTCGAGCTTGAGGAGCAAAGGTCAAAGTTCGTCGAAGGCGTTTTGCCATTGGGGTGTGCGTAGTCCAGGAATTCCAATCTTCCCCTGAATTTCAGAAGGACAGGGAAGAGTTCGGTACCAACGCCTTTCACCAAGGATTCAAACTATGTCGGATGCTCGTGGCCTTAGTATGTCCAAAATTTGACCTATGGAAACTAAAGAGCTCGTTATGCACCAGCGAAATGATGACCGAGGTCAAGCCAGACTGGGTGAACCATTTCGCCCCAAAATTGTTGGTCGGACCATAATCATTGTTAGAACTTGGGCCAAAATCACCTCAGATTGAACTACTCCCTTGCCGAGCTCATCACATCAGACTTGGGAGCGGGGGCAATTGATGAAGAGAAATTTGGCCCTCTAGTGATATTATGCCACAAGAAGCTAGTTAGCTAGTTACATAGGCAACAACGTGTTTGCACCTAGTTAGCTAGATTCACCTTGGAGCATCCTCATACACACCTCAAATGCCTAGCATCACCTCAATATCTCAGCTAGATATGGCTTTAGGAGGCATTCGTGCCCTGATGGATTTGACCACGGACCTTGACAAGAGGGGCGACCTCCCTCTAAAGACTGATTGCCCTAATCGAGATTGAGGTAGTGGCCCACATGACGTGGTGGTCACTTTCTGTTTGTATGAATTATCGTCTCCAAGTTCTCTAGAATCACAACACCCGATCAAGGAAGCTGACCTCCTCGCCACCCACTTCGGAGATAACCATATAAGCCTTATCGCTTTCCATGTAAACCACCTACGAGCGAGGTGGGCAGGTAACCGACATCCTCTCGGGGATCTCAAATGCGTCATATGAAGCCAACAACTACTTGCGCCTATATATAGGCGCTCCCTTCAACTGGAATAGGTACATGCGATTTTGCTCTCGAAACTCTCTTTCTCTTTCATTTTTTAGCTCTCTTAAAGCTCTTCATTAACTTAAGCATTGGAGTGCCCACCTCGAGTACTTTACCTATAGTCTTCTTACAACTCGACCAACTGACTTTATCAACACAACGTCTGAGCTGTCCTCCAACAGAGACCACCATATCATGCATCATCAGTATCTATACTATGCACCCCTATTTAAAATAAGTGCTTTTTCACTAAATTCTCCTATGTACTTATTAGAATAAATGTTTGTTTTTCAAATAAGCACTCCCAAACTTAGCCTAATGCCAATATGTAGTCTTCACCATTGAGGATCAAGTTATCACCCAAAATTGGTTTGACATCCGGGTTAGAAAGTAGATCCCAAATTTGCTTTGAAAAGTAACACCAGATAAAAATATGATTTGAATCTTCCCTTTCACTGCAGAAGCAGCAATCCTCATTGATATCCCACTCTCTCCCTCCTAAAAAAGCTTTCGATTGAATTCTATCTCTAAGAAGTAGAAAAAGAAAAGGGTCATTTACTAATCACCTCTATAGTTTGGGTTTACTATAACATATCCTATAGATTGTATTTTACTAAAACACCCCTAAAACTTGCAACCGATTTACTTAAGCGACCATGCATTAGATTGAAATGGAAAGTGACAATTTTGACCTTAGTATCTATTGGGACCAATTTAATCTAGAGAAAATATAAATGAAAATATGGGCAGTAGCTCTTTTTGATCAATTTTCTTCTCTACTTAAAAAAAAGGAAGCCATGCTGGGATGAACTTTCATTCCTTTGAAGCCAAACATTGTGTGGTAGGTCAAACATTGGTTGATTTTAAAAGCTCAATATGAAATGCTTGGGGTACTTTCAAAGAGTGCCATGCCATATGGAAGAGGGCTGGTACCATTTGTTGTTGCATTAAGCATGTGTCTCATCATTATGTGGGCTAGGTTAACAGACTTCTGTACCTTGATAAGATAGAGCAAAAGTAGCTCCATTCAAGAAATGAAATTGAACTAGCCCTTTTTTTGGTAGAATTCCTTCTGCCACAATGATGTGCATGACTCTTATAACAAGTTTTAAATCCTCGGACCTAGGTTTGTATTTTGGGTCAAAAAAGGATTTTCAAAGACTTCTCGTATGGTGGTAATGTACTCTACACTCTCAATCATAGTTTTTAAAACCAGAACGGATTGAATGATCGGATCGAAAGCTGGGAATTGGATTGGTTCCGTTTCTCCCTAAAATTGGATTTTCTCAAAAAAATCATTGATTTTCATCAGTAAATCGCTGAACCGGGTGATTAACCATTCGAACCATTCAAACGGTTTTAACTATTTTTTATTTTTTTGTCAGAACGGCCCGACCATTTAATTCGAACGATCGAACCGTTTGACCTGATAACTGGACCCCTGACCGGTTCGGTCTCCGAATTGGTTTTAAAAACCATCCTCTCGATGCTTAGCTAACGTTACGTTTCCTTGCATAAACCTAAGGTCATTCACAGGAGATACCAAGCATCTGTACTAGATGTATGACAACCTCCACAAAAATGTGTTTATTTTGCAAAATCTTTTCATTTGAAAGTTATTTATTACAATCTTGAGTTAGAGAAGCATGTATCCCTTGAGCAACATATCAAGCAGAAACCAAGTTATTTCATTTTTTTTGTCTCCATTGACTTGCATGCTCTCTGTAACACAGTATTGACTTATAGCTCTTCTGAGCTCATTATCTTATTAGCAAATTGCATGCCAATATGGAAAAATGGTTGTGCATACTCTGCATCGCCCCTTGTAGAGCCACATCCTCCTCCCATCAGTTGACTCCGTGGGACTCTCGTAGTTATTTGTAGGCTCATAATTGTATTAGTGAAGTTCGTTTCATTCATTTCAACCGCTGAGCCGAAACACCAAATCCAACGTTCGGCATTCGGTTCCGTTTGAAAATTTTTGGCATCTCCTCAAGCTTTTCCCTGTGGCGCGGGGTTTTCCACATGGTCAGCATTCTCTCTCAGAAGCAAAGATGGCAGAAAAAATCGAAGAGAAGTTCCATTGTTGCATTTCTCACGAGTTCTTCAGGGCAGCTTCGAAGAACCCCAATAAAGTAGCAGTTATACACGCCTATGGTGGCGCTCGGATTTTCAGGGAGTTACGCGAGAAGATGGACGAGTCAGGTTTCTACCACGACCAGTCAGATGATTTCATAGCTGGCCGTCGTGTATCTTCGTATCCTCCGGTGTATGAAGGGGACGAGTGTTTCACTTTCTCCGAAATTTTGGACGCAGTTGATGACCTCAGCTCCCGTCTCCGCCACATATTGGATGGCGGTGACGATCCGAACTTGATTAGACCAAAAGGTTAGGGTTTTCCGTATGTTCTTTTGCTGTTTTGTGTTATTGACTGGTTTGAATGCCCTTTTTTTCTGCTTTCATTCTGCATGATGAACATGGTGTGGACCGTTTGGCTAATAATAGTGTTTCTGATGAAAAAAGAAACTATATTTAATTACGAACAACTTGGAAGTTGGAAGGTTCCAATCATTTAATAAATGACCAAATCGTTTAGAGCTTCAGAGTTCAGATGAAGCTTGGCTAATCAATAGACACCCCTGCCCTTTGAAGTCATGTTTTGCCACTCTTATCAGTTATGTCTAGCGGAGAAGTATACTTGAATTGCAATTACCATATCGTTTAAAGCTTCAGACGAAGTCTTGCTTTACTGCTTGGATATGGTACTAGTGCTACTAGTAAGACCTGAGCGATGAGCGGAATGGCGTTCAGACTGCAAAGATGCCCATGTTCCATAAGAGAATTGTTAGATTCAGTTTTCTTGGTTGTGGTGAGATTAAATACCTCCATGTTTTTTCTTTTCTTATTTTCCCAAAAGTTCAAAAAAAAAAAAAAACCCACAAGTGGAGGAGAGAGATTGTACACCTAACTAATGGATAATAAGTTGAAAAGTACAACTTCATGGAACTGATAACCCAGACTGAGATTTTTGTGTACCGAGTAATTTTTGGATTGCCTAACATGTAATAAAATAGATAAGTGATCAAACTTCATAATAGAAAGAAACCCTGCATCATCAAGTGCTGAGCTACTCTGCCGAGGACATGGCTTCCCCAGATTTGTCAAACAACTAACAACAGATAAAAAACTAGTCATCACACAGATTGCCTTGTGTTTGAGCCTTAGCAAACCGAAAAGCTTTATGAAGAGTGATGGCTTCCACATATTCCACATCAATGGGCCTCAAATCTGTGACCCCTGCTTCAACAAAGGATATAGAGCTGTTGAGAACCGTAAAATCCATTGTAGCTACACATTCCTTAAGTGCACTGTCACAATAGATAAATGGTATTGTTCTCTACTAGCAGTGACAAGTTTCAACATATTCACATTACAATATCTCTGAAATTCATTGGTTAGGCCATGGGCAAGGCTAATAATATCACTTGGTGAAATATCAGCACCATAAAATGTTTGCCTATTTCAAGCATTCTAACGGTCCAAAAAGCTGCCAATGTAGTGGCAGCTAGCTGATGATATTATTATATTTTGTGGATAGTGGGGAAGAACAATGTAGCGGTCACTCATCTACAGTTTGCTGATGATATTGTTATATTTTGTGGCTGATAAAAAATATTATTATATTTTGTGATGGTGAGGAGGACTAATGGATTAGAAATTTAATGTCGGTGGTTAAATTGTTTGAGAGTATTTTTCATTTGATGGTTTATATGGAGAGGGTCTTTCTTAAAACTTTTTTGATCAGCAAAGATAGAATTTATTAAGAATATATTAAAACTGAAGGTTACATTGCTGTGGGTATATTGCCCACTCCCAAGTGATTATCAAAATAAAGCTAGTACACAAACTCCAAAAACAAACATTACATTTTAGCCCAAAATATCTGGCGCCTATTTGCCCCTTGTTTAGCTAAAGTATCTACCATGCCATTTGCAGAACTTTCTTGCAAGGGTTAATATGGAGAAAGGGGAGGTAGCTTCTTTTGCACAAATATTGGGTTGTTCTAGAGCCTCTTGGCCAATGACCTATGTTGAGCTTCATTTAGGGGTTAATCCAAGAGCTAAATCTTTTTGGTATTCTATTCTAGATAGGACTTATAAGAAGTTGATTGCTTAGAAAAAGGAACTACATCTCATTGGGTGGCAGGCTTACACTTATCAAGTCAAGATTAGCTAATCTCCCGATGTATTACTTGATCAGTTTTCAAAATGCCACAATTTATTATGAAACAAATAGAGAAGACAATGAGAGACTTCCTATGAGAACGAAGAGAAAAGAAGAAAGATTATTTGGTCAAGTGGGATGTGGTATGTAGAAGGAAAGAGTAGGGAGGCTTGGGATTTGGGAAGATAGAAAGAAAAATATGGCTCTATTATGGATATGGTTATGGAGGTTACTGGTGGAGGAAGAGAAGTTATGGTAGAAAGTGGTGGTAAGTATTCATGAGCTATTGGCTAATGGATGGAATTCTGGACTCTCAAGAGTCTCAACTATGGAAACTCTTGCCTCTCCTTGGAAGGCAATTCATAGTACTTTACTGGTTAAAATGGCCTTGTTTACAAAGTAGTGGTAAGTATTCATGTTCTAAGCTTGCCAACTTGTTTATAAAGGCCTTGGATAGGCCTCAGGCTGATTTATTTGTAACAAGTTGGGATTTTATGGGCCTATGCTTATGCTTTATGTTTATAGTATGTAATAGGGGCAGTTTTGACAGTTTAGGACAAATTACTAACGAGGGGGATTGATGTCTTTTTAATTGTTTTTCCAACTGTAGTTCATTGTAAACCAAGGCAGTAACCACCTATACAAATAACAATAGAGGTTGATGGGATAATTAAATTAAATCCCATGATTTGTTCTTTATCTCACTCTTTTGTTGCCTTTCCTTATCCTCTCATCTTCTTTCTCTCTTGCTCTGCTGGTTCTTAAAATATGAACCATCTGAGACTGTTGTGTCATGGTTTCCTGTACATAATCTTTCTTTTTGTTTATATATAATTTTGTGAGGAATGCTAGCAAATAGGGGTGTCAACGGTATTCGAGAATTCAAGATTTGACATAATCGAATTGAATTTGGATAATTCGAATATCTAATCGATTGAATTTGGATATCCTATTCATACCGAATAGCTAATCGGATTCGAATTCAGATATGACCTGATTTGATTCAATAAATATCCGAATTCGATCGATTATTTAATTCTTTTATATAATATATAAAATATTTAAATGTTTTATATAATTTATATAATAATTAAATTATGTAAATAACTTATATACTTATATAAATAAAATATTTATTAATTACCTAAAATAATTAATTGGTCGAATTCGAGTTGAATCGAATATTCGAATATTTAATCAGATTCAAATTCAAATATTAATTTTCAATATCCATCGGATATCGAATCGAATTCGGATATCAAATTTTCTAATCGGATTCAAATTCAGATATTGCCTGATTCGGTTCAAATTTGATCCGTTTACATCCCTACTAGTAAACAACAACTTTATGAGGTTCTTCTAATCTTCGTCCTATAGACATGGTAAGTGTTGAGATGTTGGGTGAGTGGTTCTATGTGCTTTTTATTATTTTATTTTAGTTACATGGGCTTTGGTTGTAATGTGCCTAAGGCTACTTTTATTATTTATTCTTGCTGCCACCTTATATAGGGGCACTCTTGTAATTTTACTTTTTTTTTCTTTTTTATAGTGGTTCAAATATACCATTGAGAAGAGCTGGGAGAAGTTATGGTTCTTTCTTTTCCCACAACTCCATCTCTTCTCTTCTTCATCCTCTCTGCTGTTCTGAACATTCTTCTTTATTTTCTGTTATTTCTCTTGAAATATATTGTTGTTTTCTTCTCAACTGTAAGAACTGTGAGAAGAAAGATAACAAGACAAAGTTGGATATGTCTTTCATGGGTTCCACCTTGTCTGTAGGACAAAGAAAACAAAATGTTGTATTAGTCATTGTTTGTTAGAATTTCTCCATTTTTTTTTTGTTGGGAAAAAGGATTGTTTGATGCTGCTCTATATATTGTAAAAAATTTTGCTACAAGTTAAATATTGGTTCTGTTGCAGACTATGTTCATCAAGAGGACACAAAAGATGGAAAAACTTGGGAGTTGTCAGGAAAGGTCAACCTTATTGAGAACCCAGCGAGGATTCAAAATGTGAATAGTAGCACAAAAATATTTGGAATATGCATGGTGCCATCTGTTGAATACATTATTACTGTTTTCTCAGTTCTGAGATGTGGTGAAGCATTCTTGCCCTTAGATCCTTCATGGCCAAAAGATAGATTACTATCCATAATTTCTTCTTCAAAGGTTGCGCTTATTATCAGTTCTGGATCTTCTCATTATACATGCAATCATCACCACCTTAACTTGTCTAATTGGCTAGTAGATCAGAATTATTGCTCTGTGCTAAACATATCTATGAAGGCAAATCTTAAAGGGAAATTTGGACAGTGCAATTTGGGTTGGCCTTGTGAGTGCAGAACCATGAAAACATTCTGTTATTTAATATACACATCCGGATCGACTGGAAAACCTAAGGGTGTATGTGGTACCGAGCAGGGTAAACACTTTTTTTGTTTGCATACTTCCATATTGTTAAACTTGGTGCTTTTTGTAGATTGAAGTGGGTGGATGATAATTCTATTCCCTTTGTGGAAGTTTATTAATAAGCTTGATACTATTGGAACTTTAGAAGGTCGTTTTGAAATTCTTAAGTTCTGCGTTGTTTCTTTTTTTTTTATTACTGTAAATTGTTTTGGAATATGTTGGCACTTTAACATCTCTTAGTGAATGAATGAGAATAATGATCCAGTTCCTAGTTATTATTTTTTTGAAGATGTTGAAATGTATACCCACAGAGGGCAGCTTTGTCTTTTGGTATATCATTGTATTTTCCCCATTGAGAATCATTTAACCGGTGCATTTTTGTAACTTTACATGTTCTAAATAGTGGAATAACAGTTTTTTTTTTTTTTTATAAATAACAGAAACTTTTATTAATAGATATTAAGAGAAAAAGATACAAGAGGAGGGGTAAAATCTCTTAACCCTCCCAAAAGGTACATTTCAGTTTACAATATTGCCCAGAAAAAGTTGACTCTTCCCATCCCTTGTTTGGCCAATGAATCTGCCAATGAATTGGCACTCCTCTTAGTCCATTGAAACTTGATTTTGTCTAACTTTCTTTTTCTCATTCAGATATTTCCACAAACTGAAATCGTCCTTCGGCAGCCAATTGATAGCCAGCTTAGAATCACTTTCCACCATTAGTTTTCTGATATTCAACTCTTGGGCTCTTTTTACCCCTTCCAGAACAGCCAATATTTCAGCTCTTAGAGAATCCCCCCATCCAATAGAACCAGAATACATGGCAATAATTCGACCTTCTTTATCCTTGAAAACTCCCCCTATACCTGATGGGCCTGGGTTTCCTTCGCTGCTACTGTCAAAGTTCCGTTTAGTGAACCCCAAAGCCGGAGGAGAGTCAGGAGACTAAACTGGGATAGATGAAGTCTTCATTGAAGCTGACCAAACCACTTCTTTCCACTTCCTGATGATGTCTCCTTCTGAATAATTTTTGAAGAGCTTCATAGTCTTAGCCCATTGAGCCATCCTTATAGAAATTAATTCGATGATGGCACCCTTATTTCTTTCTTTCCCATGAAAGGTCCTTTGATTCCTTTCCTCCCAAACTGTCCAACAGATAGCTGCTCTTACGCATCTCCATAGTATTTTCCCTCTCTTCTTCTACCCCCTAACTGAAGTAGAATGGAACAAGCTTTGTACATTTGAGGGAGGGGTCCACCTGCAACCAAAAAGAGAGAAAAACCAATACCAGATCTCTGAAACAAATGGGCAAGATGTCAATAAGTGATGACAGGTCTCACCATTCTCCTTACAAAGGATGCACCAGTGCAGGGATAAACACTAATTAGGCCTTTTTCTTTGAAGTAGATCGCAAGTGTTACACTTTTCTAAGGCTTCCCAGCAAAAAGCACTAAATTGGGAAGGGATTGGTCTACCCCAAACTTCCAAAACTGGGAAGGGGAGTCCAAAAATAGGTGGGGAATGAACCAATTCTTTGAAAAAGGAAAGCACGAGAAGGCACCTGAAGAAGGAGACCCAAATCCTACTATCCCTCCCAAGGTTCAAAGTATCGACACGTATCGGCCCGTATCGGCTGATACATATCGTTCTGGGACCCCTCCGATACACCCCTATAGTGGGTGTATTGGGGGTCTGACCGGTTTAGGGGGGTGGAGGAGTCCTAAACCGGCCCCCTGAACCGGTTTTGAAAAAAAAAATAAAAAAGGTATTGAAACACCCGATACACCCCTACCAGTGTGTTGGGCGTATCGATATTTTGAACCTTGATCCCTCCTAGAGGGGTCAATACCCACCTCATCTAGGATTTTGAGCAGGTCAGAAATAAGGTTCAGTTCACAGTCTCTATGGGCCCTTCTAAAACCCAAGTTCTAATCAACAATTGAATTCGAAGTGGTCAGAAAAGTGGAGATTGGCTCATTTTTAAATCGTGAAAGGGAATACAAGGAGGGGAATAGCTCTTTCAACGGTGTGTTTTCCACCCAAACATGTTCCCAAAATTTCACAAGGTTACCAGAGCAAAGGTCATACCTGATTCTCAAGGAGGAAAGAAGGAAGTATGGCATGAATGGATTTCCAAGGAGAAGCTCTTGTAGCTCTAGATGATACTCCCGTATCCCAACCATTTGCCGCTTGCCCATGAATACTTAAGACTACTTGAGCCCACAATTTATCCCTCTCCAAAGTCAATCTCCAAAGCCATATCCCCAATAGAGCTTCATTCTTTTTCTGCAAATTACCTAAAGCAAGCCCACCATCACTTTTGGTTTTGGTAACTATATTCCACCTGACTATATGATCTCTTTTCTCTTCTTGTGGTTCCCATAAGAAATCTCTCATTAACTTTTCCAAAATCCCACATACTCCCTCAGGAATTTTAAACACAGACAGAAAGTAAACAGGCAGGTTAGCTAATATTGACTTAATCAAAGTTATCCTTCCTCCTAGAGAGAGGTAATTTTTCTTCCAAGACGCTAACCTCTTAGTGAATCTATCAATCACCTATTTCCAAAAGCTCTTTTTACTTGGGTTATCCCCTAGTGGCAGCCCCAAATAGATCAATGTCCATTGGGCAGTCTCGCAACCCAAAATTTGGGCCCTTCCCTCCACTTCACTATCACTCAAGTTAATGCCAATCACAACTCTTATCAAAATTAACTTTGAGGTTATTCATTTGTTCAAACACATTGATCACTAGCTTTAAATTACTAACCCAACTTAACTCGTCCCCACCACAGAAAAGAATTGTATCATCAGCAAATTGTAGATGGGTTACTGGGACCCTATCCCTCCCTATTCTCCAACCTTTCACCAAGTTTCTAGAATCTGTTCTCTCAATGAGCTTCCCTAGGATTTCATCAATGTAGAGAAGATGGGCCGAATGGCCCATAGGCTGTTTATTCTTTCTTACTGTTTATGTTCTTTTCTGTAATGGGCCTTATTCCGGGTCCATCCTTTCTATGTTATGTTCTTTGTAATTTCTTGCCTAACTAAGGGCCTCCTGTAATTATTCAAATTTATCTTAATAAAATAGTGTTAGGGTGCTGAGAGGGAGTAATGTTCGAAACTTTCACTCTCAAAACCCTCATTGCCGAACTCTCAAGGTCTGTTTTCTTCAGTTTTCTTCATGGTATCAGAGTAGGCCTGAACTTCAGTATTCTAGGGCTGGAAACTTCAGCTCGTGTTGCCTGATTCTTGGAGGTCATTG